ACAGAAGTCATTTCTGTGTTGAGTTTTCAAGTTAAAGTACCAAAGAATTGTTGATAATTCAGACTGTAGCTTCTCAAATGTACAAAGATCCTGCTTCTCTTTGTCATGTGTCACTTACAACTAAATATAAACTTTTAGTCAAACAAAACAAGACATTTGAATCTGTGATTATCAATTTATCAGATTTTAACAAAGCACATTGATGGATGGAGAAGAAAAGTGACTTCTTATTATTCTAAACTTAACATTTACGAAAAATATGTTTTATTAGAAGATTGATGTTTTCAAATCCTAGAATGAATTAAAAAAGGTTTTGTAAAAGAGCTGTTAATTTGCCACATGACTGGAGGAGGAAGTTCCACAGTTTCTTTCTGAAACCAACACTGCGTCTGTGTTATTACCCAGCAGGTCTGACCACATCACGTCCCGGTGTCAGCCATGGTGCGCTGCCAGTCCTGCCCCGGACTGTGCTCCCGCTCGTCCGCCTACACTCTCGCCCTCGGCCTGGGCTTCGTAACTCTGGGGACCAGTCGCATCCTGCTGCTGAAATTCTCCGCCAACGCAGGTGAGTGACGATGAAGCGGAGATCTGACAGTTTTCAAACGGACTCCTCCGACCATCTTCATAACAAAGTGTCTGTTTATTCACAGAGAACAAGTATGATTTCCTCCCGGCGTCTGTCAATCTACTTGCTGAGGCGATCAAACTGATCTTCTGTCTGATTATGTCACTCAGGGTCATAGTTCGAGGTAAACATCAGGTCACAGCTGTATTTTGTCGATGAAACATGTTTTCTTATTTCTTGTTCCTCCTCTTGTCCGTTCAGAGGGTCGATCCTGCAGAGAGCTCGGCTGCTCCTCCAGCTCGTCCTTCCTCAGCTCGCTGAAGTGGGCCGTCCCTGCTTTCCTCTACTTTCTCGACAACCTCATCATCTTCTTCGTGATGACCTACTTTCAGCCTGTTAGTTGACACTCAAATATGCTACATCACCACCAGAGGGAAAAAGTTTTGGCTTCGTGAGGAATTTGTGTTACATAAATCCCAGTTTTTTTTTTTAAACTCCTGTTAACACGCAAACCTCACTGTGCTGGTAAATGTTTGAAACATCTGGGCTCATACCAGCCTTTAGAATCCAGATGTTACAGATGCAGTCGTCATGTTCTGCTGTTTGACCTCCTGTTGTTCCTCTCGTCTCCAGGCCATGGCAGTGTTATTCTCCAACTTTGTGATCCTCACCACAGCGGTGCTCTTCAGAATAGTTTTGAAGTAAGTTGAAAAGGAGATTTTTGTGAAGATGCTTTAGTTTATTTTCTCTTTTCATGAAAAACATTTTCCTTCTTCATCCACATTCTTGTCTTTGCTGTCATGTGGGTACATTTCTCTGTCTGCCTTCTGTTCCAGTGATTCATTAAATTTAAGTTGCCTAAAGCAAAGTTGTAATTTTTAATCGATTCACATCTTTCACATTCACGATCATGTGACCTGACTGTCACAAACCTTTAGATTTTCATGTTCTACCACAGATAAAACTTGAATTTTTTCCTTTTCCTCCAGGAGGCGCCTGTCCTGGGTTCAGTGGGCGGCGTTAGTCGTCCTCTTCTTCGCCATCGTGTCCTTGACGACGGGATCGGGAAGCAGCCAAAGCGCCGTCGCTGTGCACGTTCTCCACATTAACCCGCTGTCCACGCCCTCCAACTCCTGCCTGCTGTACACACAGCTGCTGGAGCAGATGAGGAGCAGCAGGTAAATGAACAACTTCAGGGAATGAAATGAGAAACAAGCGAGAAGTTACCGACAAAGTATCAACAGTGTTTAATACACATGATCAAGACTGTCGAAACATTAGGATTTCTCTTGGGCTGAAGTGAGACGTGTGCTTTATTTTCCTGAGGAACGGGGGGGGGGTTAGGAATGGAAGGCAATTCATCAACAGCATTTTAAAAAAACAGAAAATTGCCGACTCACGTGTTCTATCCATCGTCTCTTTGCTCTCGTCACAGTGTCAATGACACGTGGACGTCCTCCCCGTCCGTTCAGCTCTGGAGCAACAGGATCGCGGGGAAGCTTCAGTCTTTCGGCGTGGGTCACATGCTGCTGCTCCTCCAGTGCATCATCTCCTCCATGGCCAACATCTACAACGAGAAGATCTTCAAAGAGGGAGACCAGCTCACGGAGAGCATCTTCATCCAGAACAGTAAACTGTGAGAGGAACTTCACCACAGACACCATCAGACGGACGACTGACGACGGGTCTTCATTCTAAACCTGCGTCTTCCCTGCATGTGTCTGTAGATACGCCTTTGGTGTGGTGTTCAACGCCCTGACCCTTGGGCTCGGCAGTGAAGCACGAGGCCTCACCGTGCACTGTGGCCTCCTCCACGGACACAACCTCTACTCCCTGGGTCTGGTGCTGGTCACCGGTGAGTAATGGTGAATACATTATTTTGAGCAAAGTCAGTGGATATGCTCAGGTTTTCTAAACGTGGGCGAAGCTGCTGAAGAGACGATAAACTCCTCGACTGGTTGAGAAGAAAAACTCTGAGTGACGGTTTCTTACAACTTACAAGTTCATGTCTTCAGACTTTCTGCTGCTAAATATAAACTCAGTCCAGATGAACGAACGTCCACTCATGTGGTTCTTCTGAACAGTAAAAACTTTATTTGAAAAGGTGCAAGAGGTCAAAGGGAATTCAAACAAACTTTAAACAAATAAAGTTTTGTTGTTTTCTGAGGATATTTATGGGACAACTGTCTCCAAGCTGCAAATCAATAAAACGACAACTTTTCAGTTTCAGTTTCATCTGAGATGAGAAATGTAAACGTCTCCATTTGAAGAACTCTCTCTTCTGTTTCCTTCCTCTCAGCTGCTCTGGGTTTATCTGTGGCCTTCATCTTGAAATTCAGAGACAACATGTTCCACGTGCTGACGGGACAAATCACCACCGTCCTCGTCACCACCCTCTCCCTCTTCCTCTTCGACTTCCACCCTTCGCTCGACTTCTTCCTCCAGGCTCCCGTGGTCCTGCTGGCCATCTTTATCTACAACGCCAGCCGGCCCAAGGACCTGGAGTACGCCCTGCAGCAGGAAAAGCTGCGGGTCATCAACGGAGAGGTGTTTGAGCGATCCAGAGGGGTAGGAACCACACACACGAGGCCACACTCTGCGTTTCTCTGCATCACTCACCCACATGTAAAGCGCCTCCTCTCCTCCCACACACATACCAAGTTCTCTGTAGGAAACTTGGCTCTCGTTTCTCCATAATGTGATTTCTTCAGAGCAGCAGGAAACCTGACTCCTTGCTGTGAAAACAACGTTGGGACTCACGCTGGGGCCTTCACTCCTCGTAATGTCATTAGGTCAATGCAGTCTATTAGATTTTGAAAGAGGAAGTTATTAAACAGGACGTGTTTCCACAGGGGCTTTGTGAGGTCACTGGCCTGGAGTCAGCAGGACTTTCAGGTAGTTTCCACGACTCGTCTCAGACTGAGGAAAACCTCAGTATGTGAAATAACAGATGTGATCTCTGTGGTGAAACACAAACTAATCTCTGTGGCTTTGAAAAGCAAAGTTTTCTCACTGATTTCAAGGCAGAAATTCATACACTCTCCTGAAGCAACTTAGAAAGATGTTCGGTGATCGATCAATCAAACTTAACAGGAAGTGCTTTGCAGAATAAAAGCAGTAGAAACAGGAACCCTCCGTCCAACCCCAGTCCACGCAGAGCAAACAACAACAGTCAACAGGAACTGAGGAAACACGTCGGTAATCTCATCACGTTGCACCGAGGAAACTCTGAAGGCAGGAAACACAAAGATAAAGGTTAAATAACGAAAAAGGACAAACACTCACAAAGATAAGGATAAAATGATAAAACAGGAAATGTTTGGAAAATGATTTAAAAAAAGTCGGATATGAACAAGAAACGTTCCAGAGCAAGTAAACAAATTGAGGTAGAACTAGAATGGATCTCAGTCCAGTGAATGTCTCCCTCAGAGGTTTTGTTCTCGTCTGTGTTGTTTTCACAGGATTAAGCAAAAACTGCAGTAGTAGTAGTATTTTTTTATTTTGGAGCAGATCCTGGAGGTAAAAACTCTGGATCTCGTGAATGTCAAAGTGGTTTCATAAGGCTTGAGCTCTACTCAGTGATATTCTAGTTACAGTAGGAATAAATAACATTTGCTTCTTCTCACCGTGTGCTGGTGATGACAATGTGAGGCACGGTGTGTGTCTGCAGGTTTTATCACCACGTCATCCTGACTCACTCGTCGTGTGTTGTGTTGCAGGACGGTGAAGAGCTGGAGCTGCTGACGAAGCCCAACACAGACAGCGAGTCCGAGGACGAGTCTTTGTAGCGTCGGCGACGCAAGATGCTCCTCTTCTCTGCTGCTGACGACAAACTGCACAACACACTTGTTCTGCTGGACGTCACAGATTCTGTCGCAGTGTTGATGTGAGTGAACGTTCAGTCAGACGGAGAATGTGATTGTGTCTGTCGCACTCTGGAGGTAACTGAGGTTTTAGTATTTTGAAATGTGCCTGTCAGTTTGTGGCTGCTGTTATTTGTACAGTGAGGAACACCAGCATCGTGTATCTGCTGGAAACTGGGATCATTGAGAGCTTCTGTTGTTCAGCTTGATCTCCTCCAAGGATTCCTGTCTTTTCCTACGTTGACCTCTTCTATCTGATCCACAATCAGTTTGAACACAGCAGACCCAAAGCACAAGAGACTTCTTTCACTCAGCCTTGAACTTTTTTTTTTTTTTTTTT